CGGAAGGCCTGGCGCAATATGGTTCATGGGGTCACGAAGAGTCGGACACGACTTAACGACTAAACAACAACAATAGCTTGCAATTTATGCATTATGAACTAAGTGCTATGATGACTGTTTATACTAATATAGTGTTTTAAAATACATTTATTAGAAATTCTCTAAATGAGGAAAGCTGTATTTCTTCCTGGGACCTGAGCTAAAGTGTTCTATCATGGGCCAGCAACTCTCAAGCCAAACACACACAGTTATAAATAAGCTGCCAGAAAAAGTTGTCAAGCATGTCTCTCTTGTTCGAGAAAGTGGCTTCTTGACATATGAAGAGTTTTTGGGAAGAGTAGCTGAACTTAATGACACGTGAGACTTTTTTTTTCTTTTATATATATCATAGTTTAAGAATTAAACAGGAGCATACTTAACGCATTTCAGAATGAATTACTTGCAGCAGATATATATTTTTATTTATGATGGTGGCAGTGGTGGGAAATTATATGTCTGATCTGGACTGGACCTCTTTCTGCTTACTTTCTAATAAATACACAGTTGTGTTATATGTGTGATATAGTATTTAGTCTCAGGATGTGATCTGTCACATCTTAAATAATAAATACCTTGTGATAAAAGTTTCTCTAGATCAGGACTCACTTTATCAGATATATATTTGTAACATTTTTCAAATAGAAACTAGTAGATGTGTGTGTGAAAGGAGCTTATTCCCCTTATTAAACGCACCTTAATAAATTACGCTAGAGCAATAAAAACAAAACTGGTACACATTCACTGAAACATAGTGGCAGTTAAACCAATAGATGCAAACTTCCAGTGGTATAGCCATTTTAATACTAAACTAGTTGGAAAATATTTTACTCCCTTTGCAGTTATCACTTTATAAAAAATGTTTAATAAAACTGAATTTCTATTGGATATGGATGTATTTTCCAATTCTTACTTTTAGGAGGAAAATGCACAAATATGACTCTTAAAGAATATTGTAGTTGCAAACATATAATGTTGCCTTATACTGAGTCAGATAATCGGTATCCTAACTCAGCATCTATCTATGCTGACTAGTAGTGGCTCTCCAGGGTATCTAACAGGGATCTTTCCTTACCTGGTTATGAGGTAATTAAGCCTGAGATCTTCTGCATGTAAACCATACCCCAATCACTTACTTACAGCTCTTCTTAAAATCAGAAGTTATACGAAAACACTTATTTTATATAAACACATATTTGTATAAAATTGAAATTTTCCAGTATTTTGGTTGGAAATTTAAAACATAATTATTTTAAAATTGTCCTTCTGTAGAACTACAAATGAGGATGAACAAAAGAATGAATAGATAGTGATATTCCAGGAAGCCAAACCAAAAGAAAATGAGTATTTTGTGTTACTAACACTGGGTTGGATCTAGATAAATCTGTGCAGAGCTGTTGTGCTTGATTCATTCTCCTGGTTGTCCTCTGGAAACCGTCTTCCAGGATTAGAGGATCTTGCTGAATGGTGTTGGGTCTTAGCAGGATTCCTCCAAACTATGTGAAGGCAACATCACCAAGTCTTTTCATGAGAGCTGCTTGGGGAGGGGCTGAGCGGGAAAGTCAATTTCCACCAATCCCATTCCACAGATCACCTTATTTGGATCCAACCCTATGTTTGAAAATATGTATTTGCTTGCAATTTGTACATCATATTCACTATAATATTTAAAGCGGATATCATCCTGTGGTACATATGTACAAAATGATAAATAAATAATTAAATAATTTCAGGACTGCACAGTTAGCTTCTGGCCAGAACAAGCATCTGTTGTTTGAAGTGCAGCCAGGTTCTGATGCTACAGCTTTATGGAAGGTGGCTGTTCGGATAGTATGTACTAAGGTAAGTTTATCAGAAACTTTAATTCTCTTATTTACAGCAACATATAATGAAAACGTAAGCATAAAGTTGTTGGATTTTCATGCTTAACTAGAAAAAATGCCGCATTTTCATAACTATTTAAAAATAAATATATGTAGCTTGCTGTGTTTTATGTTTTTCTTATTACTGTTGCATTAATGTGCCATTACTAATGTGTCATTATTCATTCTGAACATTATAAAGCCACTTAGAGCATCATCTCATAGTGCCAAATCTCTGAGTTTAGGAACCTTTGATTCACATTGCTCTAAAAATAAAATTAGAATAAATGGTGAGATGTTCAAGAAAGATGATAATGCTGCTTTCTGTATGTATAGATAAACAAGACAAGTGGGATTGTTGAAGCTTCAAGAATCATGAACTTGTATCAGTTCATTCAACTTTATAAAGACATCACAAGTCAGGCTGCACATGTTCTTTCGCAGAATGTTCCCTCAGAAGGAACAGCAGAAGATCTGTCATCTGTGGCATCTTGTCAGGCCAGCATTTGGATGGGAAGGTGAGTATTCTAAAAAAAATAACATGTTTGAATCTGTTCACTTTAGCTATAAAAAGTCCAATTTCTTGCTACAGCAAGGAGTTTTGTAGACTTGATTCAATTTAGGTGAGGGTTGCCATTTACTATAAAAATATGCAATGAATTAATGCTCTATAATTAAGTCTAACTTTTTTCTTACTGAAAATATATGTAAGCTTTTCTGAAAGAGAGGCATCCTCTTCATCCTCTAGTGATGAAGCTCCATTTTGAAACAAAAATAATTACCATTCATACTCATTTTTCTCATTTTGGAAAATAGTCATGTTCAGGCAAACCCAAGTGTAGCTCCTTTTTAAAAATCCTGCCTGAATATGAGGTGATTGGAGAAAGGAAGAAGTGAAATGAATGTGTGCGTACTTTTCTCTACAGTTTAAAATTTAGTGAGTGATCTGTTTCCCATATAGTATGTCAACATGCAACTAGGTTTACTGAAATATTCTTAAATAATTCATATTCTTTGGGGTCTCGTCACCTTAACACATTTTTCCTGACTTCTGAAATTGCCTAGAAGGGTCTGGGTATCTGGACCTCGAAACAGTGAAACAATTAATGCCTCTTTAAGGGATGGTGAAGTCCCTGTAACTGTAAAGGAAACTGTGGTTAGGTCTTTGTTGAAGAACCTCAACTAAGATGTTGTGGGTTTTCGGTGGGATCCAAGAGACTGGAGACATGATGTCCTCTCAATTCTAGACAATACTGGATTCTCTTGATTATTTAGAGTAATTTCTGTTGGACTTCAGACCTCCGTGTGAAATAGAAATACTCTTGGCCTTCCTTATATAACCACCAGCTTGGGAATGGATAAGTAGAATGAAACCCTATTGGTTTCTCTGGATCTCTCAGGAGGTTTCTGTACCATAGAATACAGTATTCTTCCATTTTGCTTATATGGATTAAATTAAGAAGGCATGCAAGGTGTTATGATGGATCCAATCCTTTCTACAGGAAAGGTCTGAGAAGATGATATTAGCGATTTCTGTTCTACTTCATAGCTATTAGTCTATAGGCCATTACAAGTTTTCATTTTGTTCTTACGACTTTTCAGTATTGGTATGAAATTAGAAGTTATGGAGTGGAGTCATGGAGTTGAGGGATGGACTGTAGTGTACACAGTAAGCTCTCTTCTATCTGCTTGTCCTAGAGAGGCTGTGGAGCTCTTGAACTAGTATTCAGAGGCTGCTTTGGAATGAATGAGTGAGTGAATTTAATCCAGACAAAGCAGAGGTAATAGGGATAAGGAAAGACTTGCAACTGATCATAGATGGGGTTCTTCTCACTCTGAAATAATAAATGTGTACTTTGGAAGTTTTTATACAGTGTTCTAATCGGAAAAGCTCAGGTGACTAAGAATGCCTTTAAGTGTGTGCATATGTGTGTGTGCATGTGTATATGTGTATGGGTGTTATCTGTAACCCTATCTGGAAAAGCAAGATCTCTGCCTTAGGGATGCTGAGGATAGATTAGTTTACAGTACTGTGTTTCACACAGAGATGTCTTTGAAAACAGTTCAAAAATTTGAGATGATTCAGAGAGCTGAAAGAGTGTTAAATCACTGCTATGCTAGAAAACTACTGGAAATAGGCACCTAGATAACAGGGGCATAGCTGTTTGCTACTGTATACAACAATCGTGTGTGTGTGTGTGTGCACATGTATTTACACACACACATATACACATATGCAAAAATGGTGTTCAATACACAAAATTGGTGTTCTATAAACAAATCTTAAAGCACATGTTAAAAAAATCTGTGTCCATGCACCAGTCAGAGGGTATACAATCCCTAGTAATTGTATATGTGTGGAAGAGAAGCAGAGAACAAACTTTTCTCATTTCTGCCACAGCCTCTGATTATTCATTTTTAACAGTTTTAATGTTCTTAACATGTGCTATAAGATTTGTTTATAGGACACCAATTTTGTGTGTGTATAGAACACCACTTTTGTGTATAAGAATGGTCTCATTCTCCTCCTTTCTTAGGACAAAAAACCCCAATGGTTTCTTGCAAGCTGTATGTGAAATTGCTTTTAGTGAACTAAGGGTTAAAAGATTATAAGTATTCATAATAAAAATATTTAACAAGAAACAATTCAAGATATGCTCCATACACAGTTAAAGTTCTGGTTGTCTTTGATTATGAATAAATAAGACATTTGTACTCTAGGGTGAAAAAGCTAACTGATGAGGAAGAATGTTGCATTTGTATGGATGGACGTGCTGATCTGATCTTGCCATGTGCCCACAGCTTTTGTCAGAAATGCATTGATAAATGGTAAGTCAGTTAAATCTCATGAACAAATTATATCACCAGGATAGATGCTTGATTCCAATAATGATTGTGTAATAATAATTATAATACTGTATAATAATCAGTATTATTCACCTTTAAATGTAATCCATGCTACCAGCATCAACCTGTGTATATTAAAAACAAATTTTGCACAAATTTCTTAAACAAAATAAAAAGAAATACATCTGAGACAAAGTACCATGTTTACCCAAAATGAAGACCTTGTTCCTGGGGATTCCACATGCATACAATGTTTACATTTTATAAACTTGCATATATATATATATATGTATGTATGTATATATGTATGTATATACATACACACACACG